GTAATTGTTTGATGGTTGCTGGCGCAGAGCCAAAAGTTTGGTTAGGCGTTGCAAAAGAGAGTTCCGTCCTGTCGGCAGAGCACAACTGTAAATTACATTTAAATGTAAAGGAATAGTGCCAATCGGCTGGCACAAGTACAATAACACATTCGATTTGGGAAGATTTCTCTACCCCAGCTCTCATCGTCTGTTATAACCATCCTGGTTTTGCAACTGATAATCTATTTTTCAGTTCATCGTTCGAACTTTGCATACTGGTATTCACTTTCGTAATCCACTTGCTGTTCCTGATTTGTACCAGCACGTCCTTCAAGGAACCAATTTTGTCCTTGACTGATTTTCTCCCAACTTTTCCATGTTGCCACTCTGAACCCACTTTGGGCACACCACCAATTAGATTCTGAAATAAATTTCGGTGTACAATATCTGGTGGGGACATGTCAATGCTGGTGGCTTGGAACCAGCAGATTTTGTAAAACAGTGTATTTTGCTGGCAAAGAGATAATGTACAGGACATTGTGCACGTACATGTACATTGTACACTGTTAAGCAGCAAAGCTACTGTAATTCCCACAAGTCCTCTGAGGCCCCTGCAAGTCTATCACAAGTCCTCGGATTCAATGTAAGTCCATCCCAAGTCCTCACAATCCATCCGAATCCAACACAAAGTCTCCAGAGTCCCTCCGAGTCTACCACAAGTCTTCAGACTCCCTGCAAATCCATCACAAGCCCTCAGAGCCCCCCTCCCAAATCCAACACATCCAAGTCCTCAGATTCCTGGAAAGTCCAACACTGGTCACTCATCTCCAGCCAAGTCTCAAGTAAACCTATTCTAAGCCACTTTTATTGTTATCAGTCATGTTAATTTCCATGAAAAATAAAAACCAGACATTATGGCTGTACAAGTTAACCCTTTAACCATGCGCTGCTGGGTTGAATTTTTGTTGCATGACCTACATGTATTTCCTGGGAGATTTTCAAAATTTTCAGGCTTCAAAATTCTTCAAACTCTATAGCTTCCTTTACTGGACATTTACACCCACACAAATGACTGCCTGGCGGCCCAGTGGAGACTGAATGTGAAATCCTCATACATGTACATGTACAGTAAAGAAGATCATAAATAGTGTTTCTTCTCCAAATTGAATCCTAAACGCCCGTTTACTGCACCTGTTCACATACATGTACCAATAGTTCACAAAAAGGTGTTACCGGTATATCCATATACATGTATACAGGCAAAACTACAAAGAATGTGGGCCAAGGTTGATCAGTGGTCATTCCGTTTGTCCACTATTGGCTGATTTTGCCAGGTATTACCAACAGGTACCGGTACAGTCTGGCACGTGCCATAGAACTGTGCAAGTACATGTACCAGCCAAAATCAAATCTGGTCAGGAACATAGCGGTACAATGTACATGCCCAGCTCCTGCATTTCTAAATCAGAGGAGAAACCACAACGTTGAACAGTTTGGGCAAGGATACACATAAGCACACACTTTGCAATGTTACATGTTCATGTACATGTACCGGTACGTTATGCCATGATGTCCAATGTACATTGCACAATGTATGTACATGTACATGGTACATGTACATTACATGTACATGTACACGGTACATTCCACCCCAACATCTCCCAACTCAGTATGTATGCGTGTACATGTACAGTGTGCCAGGGCTTTGAAAAGACAAAGTCCCTTCTCTCACTGACAATGGCGATCCTGCCAAAAATAGACAACCCGAGGGTTATTTCTGTCCTAGACTGTCCAGTGCCCTGTTTGTCTAGAACCCACTTTCCTGTTTTGACATTTGATGTGCTCTCAACGAGCATGAATGCCTCCCGAAACTGGAGCCCGGCTGTAAACTGAAACCAGCACTGGACAACAGCAGCGGCTCGGGTTATATGCGATTCCCTCCCCCCTCCCCTAAAAAGGGACGGTCCGGCATTGTTTGGCCAAGACGGCACAAGCCGTCTCTTTTGGGGACGGTTCCTGTCGAAAAACCGCAAAACGTGAGCGTGAGGGCCTCAGCAGCAAAAGAAAACTGATGGCCTATTATTTGGCCTAGCCTTCTCGTCGTGTTTGCAGGGAGCTTGTGATGCATAACGAAACAAAGCCCCCAAATAAGTGCAGCCAACTGCTTTCTTCAGAGCAATCTATTTCCGTTGATGCAGTTAAGCCTCCCATGTATACATGTAGTTGTACTCTAGTAGGTACTTGGACAAGGTCTGCACAATTGTCCAACAATTAATAACCCCCTCCCCCAGGCTGAACAGAATAATTAATTCCCCTCCTCCCACCTCCATCAATTTCTGATGGGGGGGTGGTGGTGGTTAATACATGTACATATATACCAGTAACCATCTCCCTGAGGATCTCCCTCTATTGGCGGTTGGAAACCTGACTTGCAGATTTGAGGATTATTTCTAACTTTACAACTGCCAAAAATGTACCAAATCGCATAAAAACTTGGTGAACAAACATCACAAAGCATTACATGTATGTTGTAATGTACGTGTACACCGTACATAACGTTAAGCCATGCATGTACATGTACATGTTCACAGTACCGGTGCATAACATGCATGATTTGTGCCTGCACATTTCTGGTTCTGGTACATGTACATGAGGAATGCACAGGTGCACCCTCTATGAACACTCCCCCTTCCATGACCACTTCCCCTCCATGCCCAGTTCCCCCTCCATGCCCAGTTCCCCCTCCATGCCCAGTTCCCCCTCCATGCCCAGTTCCCCCTCCATGACCAGTTCCCCCTGACCAG